TGTACACGTATGCTTTTAAAGTTCCTATTTGTGAAATATAAACATTAAAAAACAAAAATGATACGTCTTTTATTAATAAAATAACTTCTAAATTCGTTTTTATTTCTTTGAAAGTATTATTAGGTGTTAAAATATGAAATTGCCGTTTTACTTTTAAAAATCCAAACTCCTTTTTTGTAAGAATGTATATATTTATTACTTAAATCGAAATATATGCCGGAATCTTTTATGCCTTTGCGACAAAACTCTAGAAATCTGGACTCTACAAAGTCTATGAAGGTATTTCGTACTTACAACTTCCAGAGAACAAAATTTGTCCTCGCGGGAAATTGTCCAAATTGCGAAATAATGGTAATCAGTTTAGCCGGGCTATTCACAATCGTCTCGGAAAGCGAAATCGACTCGGATTCGATAACTTCTCGCACCGAAACCAATAAACGCTATTCACATTTAACGTTCGGATAAAGGTCACTTAGATACATCCCATAACTATTGTATCGTCATTTAGTTACATGCATTTACGAATTTTGTAGATAAATAGGCATATTGTATTTTTTTAGAGTAACGCCTGAACAAAAGCATAAGGCAATATTTTGGTGTTAGCCATTGATATCGAATACAAAAATATATAGTTTAACTATATAATAAATAATAAAAAACTGCGACATTTCTACGTTTCACAAAGCAGCATATGCAGCATAAGCTGCATATGCTGCTTTATATATATATATATATATCATATATATATATGATATATATATATATATAAGCAGTTATGAACATACATTTAGCAACTTTATTTATATTTTATTATTATTAAAATTCAGCTTTACGATTAAGTGCAAATATTGAAGTAATTATATGAAAATACGTCCTATAGATAATTGTAATTAATTTTTGTTACCTACCTTATAATTAAAAGGGTTTATTTATCTCTCCTAATCATCAATATTCAAGTTTTCGCCAGCCTCAGAGCTCTCGTGAAGTTTCCGATGCAAACTGTCACAATTATCGAAAATAAACGTCAAAGAAGTACGGTCACGCCCCAGAGAAAAAAACCCAGACCCGACAGAAACGAGACATATCTCAGTATTTTTTGTTATTTATGATATAGTTAAATGATATATTTTTTTATATTCGATATCAATGGCTAACACCAAAATATTGCCTTAAGTTTTTGTTCAGGCGTTACTCAAAAAAAAATACAAAATGCCTATTTATCTACAAAATTCGTAAATGCATGTAACTAAATGACGATACAATAGTTATGGGATGTATCTAAGTGACCTTTATCCGAACGTTAAATGTGAATAGCGTTTATTGGTTTTGGTGCGAGAAGTTATCGAATCCGAGTCGATTTCGCTTTCCGAGACGATTGTGAATAGCCCGGTAGGTTCGGTCTGAGGAATACGCCCACAAAAGATGATGTATGGCTTCTAACTGCAGGTTTTGTAATTTTCAAAATGGTTCGACGAGTGATAATACCATGGGTTCGTGTTGTCGTGGACCAATAATGGTGCAGACCAATTGACGAGTCGGTTTTTTATTCTATATTCTCGGGGGTCGTGGTTCATACCTCAAGTTGAAGTTTCCACTACGAAAGCGATTAAACCAAAACGAACAGTGCTTTCGGTCAATCGCATCCTCTTTAAGTGAGCTGTTTCTGTTAAATTGGAAATGTCGGAACCAGGGCTCGAAAACGTTATTAAAAATAATGTTTTTAAAACATTCGGAGCGGTTTCTTGTATAATATTTTGTTCGGAACAAATCAACAAATACGCAATGAGAACGTAATGTGAGAACGTAAAAAACGGTTTATTCCGCAGGAAGCTAAAGGCAAACTTTAGTAAACTATTTATTAATCTGTGCTAAAGGGATGGCGCGTGCCGCGACAAGTTTAAACCTATCAGGTAGGTACTTAGTTCGAATTCATTTCATTACACCAGTGATTCCGAATTCCGATGCGCTGGGTGCTAGTGGACTGATTGATTTTTTGTGACTGAATCAACCATGCTTTCTCTATCACACACTACTAAATCGTAACGTACACACAGAATTTAATTAAATATTCACAGTACCCTTTCACCTATTTGACTGGATGTGTCCCTTTTATTTTTGTTTCATATTGCAGGGCCAAAAGGGGAAAAACAGTTTAAAATGTTTAAAAACATTTTAATGAACAAGAACAAAGACGTATTAAAAAAGAGAACGATTTAAAATTTCGTTCTCTTCATAAATGCTTTTATTGTGATTCCGTCCGAACATAAACGAAAAAAAGTTTTTAGCTATTTAAGGCGAAACCGTTTCGAAAAATATACCGTTATCCGAGCCCTGGTTCACACCTAATCGAAAATTACTCTACTTTTTGAGGTGTCCCGGCCTTATTTATAATCGTCGACAAACACTTACTTTAACTGAGCATTAATTAACTCTATACCTGTCTCTTTCTATTTTCATTTAATGCAGAGAGAAAGAGCAACTTACAGCATTCCTATAATTGACGTCGATATTTATGAGTAATGGCGTCCATGCTCAGCTCAAATACTTAATTCATCAATAAAATGCTATAACACAATTTATAATATTATAGGTTTTGTGTCGAAAAAATTTTAATCACGAATCTTGGACCATGCGGTTTTCATTTAAATTCAAAGTAGCCGCTGCATTAATACTTATAACGTTAACTTTATACTTTAGCCCTTTAGCCCGTATTATGAAACAGTAAAACTCCATAATTCTCTGGGTGTTTTCCCCGACCGTTCAGTAATTCGTGGAATCGGTCCAATGGGACTTTATTTGTGTTGGCCATATTTACATAATCAATTGTAATCTCATTCACCTAACTTTGCTTTATACTGTAGCCTCCAATATTTTAAAATTTAAATTTAACCATAGTATGGTTGAACGAAAAAGATTAGTTACATAATATTAACACGGCTGAAAATAAAACTAACTTTTTTATAATATGGATTCTGGACCATCATACTTCATCATAATCATTATCGTCATCATTACAGCCCAAAAATATCCTTGATTTAAAAAATATACTGCTTTTTTATAGTGAACAGAAATCTTAATAGACTTGGAACATAGTTACTTTTAAAAAATTTGCGATCTCTAAAATTCCCCTAGGCTCAAGCCTCGTGGGCCTTGTCATGTGAGAGCGTGGTCCTTCCCTGGCCAAGACGACTGGCCAACCCATTCGTACTGTAGACTTGCAGATATAATTTTTTTAATAGAATAAGGGTGACAAACGAGCACACACACCTGATGATAGGTGGATACTGTGGCCCATAGATATCTACATTTGTCCTCAATTAAGAATCAAAATGCAGATGCGTTTTCACCCCTGAGAACTGAGATGGAATGCCTCGTTTCCAGTAAAAAGGGTCCCCGATTCTCTCACCATACGAAACACAACAGCATTAAGCTGCTATTTTACGCTGATATTCTGTCCCCGGTCGAGCCAACCCATTGTGTTATAACCACAATATATCTGCAACATGGCTCTTCCACATAAAAAATACACTTGCAGCGTAGATCTACCGCGTAATTGTTTGGAGATAAATATTTTTTTTATCGCCGAGTTGTGGCTGTGTTGTCCTAAGGTGTCGGAAGAGGCGACTATAGGAAATACCTGAATAAAGACAAAGCCATGAAGACATTTATTCCAACACTTACATCCACATACATGACAAATTATAATTAAAAATAAAACAAGTGACTTATTGTCAATGCTTCTATACTTGTCAGCTTTGGTTGGACAGTACCAAGAATACACGTATAGTAGCATTAGTATAGTGCAGTATAATAATGCATTCCGCATTCTTATGAAACTGCCTAAATACTGCAGTGTGTCGAGCATATTTGCCAACGCCGGGGTGCATTTATTCGCCCTTATTTCGCCCATTACTTCGCCCTTATTAGATCTCGGGTTGCAGCTTGTTGGTCCCGCATCTACGAGTGCCCAGAGAATCCCATATTAAATATTGGCGTGCCGTGCATCGCGATAATAACTGTAAATAGATAGTACAAACTCCCTTTTGGGGGCAATTTTAGTATTTTTAGTATGATTACAGTTGAATTGCGTTTTATTTATTTTATTTGTTGTATCCTTATAATTATATTTTCATTTTATTTTTAACATTTATTGATATTTAAAATGGGTATAATAAGTTTGGAATAAATGACTATTATTATTATTAACAAACACATAAACAAAAAAAGAATAAATAAAAGAAGTGCGTCCATTGCAGCTGGCCCCGAACTAACTGGAACTGGAGTAATCTTATGACTTCCGATATATGGTGGTATAATGGTATCTCGTATACGCGAGACGCATGGGTGCGAGACACCTGGCATAGGAAACCCTGAATGACTTTATTTTTCCACATAATAGTATGTTTCTAAACACAAACATTGAACATACTGAGTTTTAATATAAGAAATAATAATTACTTATTGACTTTGATTGAAAATACCCGTGAGCATTGCTAGTAAATTTACATGAACAGATATCGATAAACTCGTGATAATTTTACGTGGATATCGAAAATAGTATTTTTTAGTACTATTTAAATAATAAAAAAGAAAGGGAAATGCTATAAATGTACAGCAAAAAGTAAAACATGCACTTTTTTCCATACCAAACGCTTTGTATTATAATTTAAAATTAAACATTTTGTACAACCGACTTCAATATAAATTATTAAGAATAACTCAAAAACTATTGATCAGACCTTGATCGAATTTATATGGGATCACATGTGAAGCACCAGCTTTTAATTGAAAAAAGAATCATCAAAATCAGTTCACCTAGAAAGAAGTAATGACAAAACACACATAAAAAACATACAGTCGAATTGAATATCTCCTCCTGTATGACGTCGATAGAAAATATAAGCAAATATGGCAAAATAATTTAAAAAATATTATCAAAAACACCTTTTGATGATTTATTGAGCATGGAATAAATTTTCGAAAGAAATCTGCCAGGAGAGCTAATAAACGTAATTTCGCACTTCAACGCTAGGCACGTCATCATTGCTCCAGAGAGTCTGCACTTCACAATTTACTTCGGAGGACATCTTCATTTGTTCTCGACGCTCCCAACGCATAAGCACCAGCCTGACGATCTCCAACCATATACACAATTCTAAAACTATTCAAAGGCACATATTAGAATCTGCATTTCTACCGAATATAGGTAATTCGTTTTTATCACTAACTGGCTGACTCCCACACTCATCAAAAAACTAGGTCATTACTGAATTTATATTTTGTATTCTAGAAAACATAGAAATTAGTAATTTGGCAACAAAGATGTACGAAAACTACAAATATTGCAACTTATTGATACTACAAAATTATCGATATTTGGCATTATCTCCAAACTATGTACATGTACAGGATCAGTTAAAATTAAAATTCTTTGAATTCCACTTAAAAATGTCTTATTAGCTTATTCTTACTAATAGTTTTGTTATTTGTTATAAGATGATAATGATTTTAAAAAAATCGATTTAACAATAAAAACATAAGAGATAGAAGAGGAAGTGTGCGGGTCAACTGTCTGTAATATTATAAATCAAAATGTATTGTTCCAAAATCCAAACATTTTCTGCCGACTTCCAAAAAGGAGCCGGTACTCAATTCGACTGTATGTTTTTTTTTATGTGTGTTACCTCAGAACTTTTTTCTGGGTGAACCGATTTCGATGATTCTTTTTTTATTTGAAAGCTGGTACTTCTCGTGTGGTCCCATATGAATTTGATCAAGGTCAGACCAATAGTTTTTAAGTTATTCTTAAATAACTTATATTGAAGTCGGCTGTACAAAATTTTTAATTTTAAATTATATATCTCATGTAGTTTGTGAGATAATCATCATCAGAAAAAATCACTTTTGTCATGGAGTCTCTATATATTTGTGAAGTTTTATCAATCATCGGTTCAGTCATTCCGAAGATTAACCTGGACAGACAGACAGACAGATTTATTTAAATGGTTATTTTCTTATATTACTAATAGAAGCCAGTTATATCGAAATTACCGACATACATTTTAATTTTACTTATACTAATACAAAGATAAAGCTTTTTAACATTAGTAATATCCTAGCAAAAAAATTAACAGGCAAAAGGGGTTAATTTCGGTAGAAACGACGATCGGAATTGTTGGCTTAGCCAATAAGAGTTGACTTCTGAACGGGTGCAAAGTTCCTTAACAGTCTTTTTGAGATACGAACAATACGAATATAGTCCACCTGATGATAGGTGGCTACAGCATGTGGACATTGGCTACAGAGTACACATGTGTTGTCACCTCTGAGGACTACGATACAATGCCCCACTGTCTGTTATTAATTATACTGTCTCTCTATACCTACCCTCCAAACCGAAACACGGCAGTGTGCTTGCAACTCTATTTTGACGGCAAAAACATGTAAGATGGTGGTCCTTCTTCAATTGATATTAAAAAAATTGTCTGTCTGTTATGGGTAATCTCCGAAATAGCTGGACCGATTTTGACGGGAGTTTCACTGGCAGATAGCTGTTATAAGGAGTAAGTAACTTAGGCTACTTTTATTTCAGAAAAAGAATTAGGGTTCCGCCCAAAAAAATCCATGAAATCCAATCGTAATAAAGTCGCGGGAAACAGCTAATCTTTATATACAAAAATTACGTGTCACGTTGTTTGTCCGCGATGAACTCCTACACTACTGAACTGATTTCAATGAAATTTTGCACACTGTGTGCAGTTTGGTCCAACTTGAGAGATAGGATAGTTTTTATCACGATAAGTGACCCTCAGTATTTTTTATTGCGAATTTAAAGATTTTTATAGTACAGAGGTTCACTGCTAAGGGCAGAACAACGTCTACCTGGCCAGCTAGTTGTTAATAAAAATTTGAAATAGCGCAGAAAAATATCATAAGAGACATCACAGGTGCTAAGTCCAAGTTGAATCTTCAAATCATTGCAATTCGAAAACAAACCGAAAAGGTTTAAATAATTTGACTCACGCTCCTACTTCAATACAATTAATCCAATTAATATCTTTATATCCGGCTTGAAGGACCACGTGGGGGATTATGCCAAAGTTTGAAATAGTAGCAGAGACTGAATTGGTAAAGGTTTATATAATGCGAAATCCTATGATACAATGCTTAAGCAGGTAGTGACAAAAACATGAAAATGATTAGTACATTACATACATAAACTGCTATAATTTAAAAACTATTACTATCTAAGGCGCATGGTTGCTAATATAAATGCGTCAGGCGTCAACAATGTATCCTGATGATGATGATTACGGATCAGTGATCAAAAATAGTCTTAATCTTTATAAAAAATAACTATACACTTACATAACAATAAGATAAATGCCGTGGTGAATAATATGTTAACGTTCCCATTAGCGACGAACATCGTATACAATAAAGCCCCCGTTGTTGGGGCTTGTCGTAAAACCAGTCCGCGTAGAGTAACTCCCATCCAGGGCAGAAACAGGTACTCACGTAATGGGGAATGCTATAATAATGAAATAAAATTGCATGCCTTCTTATATGTAATATTGTAACATACAAATTAATTTTGGAGACGTGTTACCTAATTCAGCTTGCTTTTCACCGAATAACTTTCATAGTAAGTGAGCTACTAGAGTTTTAACTACACCAATGAAATGCTTGAGTGTAATTTTAAGTGTTGAGTGTTAATATGTCCATCATGAGTGTGAATAATAATATGTGTCGAGGAAATTAGTAAAATAGATAAGTAAAGTAAGTCAACAAACATTGGAGCATCGCAGTATAATCTTCCCCACAACAAAAACCCTATCAGAAAATGTGGCGTCCTCTATACTCAGCAATAAAACGTAATATCTAAGACACGGGACGTACAACAAGAACGACAAACAGGACTGAATATTTTCTACCAAAAAACGAGCCGATAGGGATATGTATTGCGAGGCCGTTTATCTCTTTCTAACAAGGTGACCAAACTTTTTATTACACATAGGAAAGGTCGCTCTGAAATATCACTTAGACTATAATTAGACTATGTAAGTGTTCAATAATTTTTGTTTGAGTGTTCTGTTCTATATCAATGTAAGTTGTAATCTGTATTTTCATGAAAAATTAAAGTAAAGGCAGGAATGCACATGCCTGCACCATGCATATGCAAGCTACTATCATGTGTAAATGTTAAAAGGCATGCCTGTAGTTAGCATGTAAGTAGATTACAACATAATTGATTTTTGGCAGCAAATTGAATACCAAAAGGCATATGCGAAAGCACGCGATGCGAGCTACGGGCGAGCCTGATGACAGGGGCCAGTATGCTACCACCGCGTGTTTTTGTTCAGTTAAATTAACTACCCATTCCGTTGGAAGTATCAATAAAATACAATACAAAATTAACTTCGAATGCTTTCAATGATTCACCCATTGTGAAAACTTAAAAAATGTGCTATAGAGGCGGTCATTAGCGTACAAGTAGCGTGATAAACTGGCTATGGTTTATTTGAAGACATGTGTATTTCTGCTTTTATGTGAGCTAGCCAGCGTATACGCAGCGTTTAAGAGCAGGCAAGGGCGCACGCAGGATTTCACTCAGGGAGCATAGAACATTTCTGGCTCTTGTTGAGTACGCCCTTGAAAGCAGTTATTTGAGTATTTAAATGAAATATATGTTAATGTGAAATAAAAGTAAGTAATAGAAAAGAATAGAATAGAATAATTTTTATTCAATATAGATTATTACATAATACTTATTGAAAGTCATTTTTTATTTACCACTGGTTCGGAAAATATCTCTGTCCTGGGAAGAACCAGCAAGAAACCCAGCGGGACATTATTTTCAAATATATTTCACTTAACAATAATTTCGTTTATACAATTTTTAAATGATTTATCATAGAACCAACATGGTGGCGATCACCTTATTCCCAGGGGTTATTTTCATTCATGTATTCCTTGATATTATAATAACCCTTTTTGTACAGTCTTTCTTTAAGGCCTTAACAGTGGTTGAAATGCCTAAATCTTGGATATTTAAGTAAAAAAATCTCAATAACTGTTCATTTAATACACAAAGGAAAAATACAGGGTAACAGAAGAGGATTTGGTAAATGTTTTGAATTGAACAAAATTGTGTTTTGTCAACCCCTTATTAGAAAAAAAAAATCCCCAAAGAGTACCTATCTTTGTCATATTTTGCAAAATTTATCCAAAACGGCAGAAGCTTTTTAAATAGTTCTTACACTAAAAAAAGGTCTTAAAAATATTAATATTTTTAATTGAGAGTTTTATTTTTATTCCCCGTTTTATAAGAGAATATATCATTTTTCCCTGAAATTAAATATATTTATAAGTGAGTGCGCATGCTCCGTCGCCCTGTCGCAGTCCATTTTCGGACATCGTCGAGGGTGAACTGCGCGTCGGTGTTGGAGCGACTTCGTTCAAATATATATTAGTTTTTTAAAAGTTTATTCTCAATTATAAATATTTTTTATGACTAAAAATACGTAATTTAGTTAATATCTGTACACTGGTAACTGTAAATATTATTTTTTAAATAAATTAATTTTTAAAGTGCCCAAAGAAGAAGAAAGTTGATTAGTGAAATTGAAAAATGCATTTTTATATAATTTAGATGTGGAACGACGAACATGCTCTCGTTACTTAGATTTCGATAGTTTTTAATACGCATGTAATTTTATTGTTGCATATTTTTATTAATTAGTTGATACTGAATTTTATAATTATATATTACAATAAAACGGTGTTTTATGAGTATGACTTTATAAAATATTATTGGGGAGGGAAATATAGATACAGATACTTACATTTAGGTACACTGTTATCAAATTAAATCAAACAATTTAAATAAATAAAAAATGGAGCTTCCCTAAGTATAAATAACTATATAAAGACATTCTTGGGTTTATGTTTTTTTTTTTAATGTTAGACAAACTATCTTCTAAAAAATGTAAATATTTTAAATTGGTAGTAGTAGTCAAACACACACACACACACACACACACACACACACACACACACACACACACACACACACACACACACACACACACACACACACACACACACACACACACACACACACACACACACACACACACACACACACATACACACACATACCCACACATATACACCCACACAAATTCACACATACACGCACACATACACACATACACACACACACACATACACACACACACACACACACACACACACACACACACTAAACACACAAACCCACAAGATTAGTTATCTATTTAAGACTTTCAATACGCACAAACATTCCTAAAAATCCAGTATTTGCTTGAGTACTTAAAACTGGTTTAAAACTTTTAATCATTATTTTCTTTTCTTGCTTGTGTTCTTTAAAAGAAAGCTTTCTGGAGGTTTTAATATTTAAGTTTATAACATTTTTTTTCCATTATAAATGGGATGACTAAATCCATGTTGCTTCAAATCTCTGGTATTGAATATATCTAATAAAACTACTTGTCGCATTTTTTTAATCAAATATCCCAAGATTTCTACAGCAACGCGATTATGTCACTACCTACAAGATCGCAACAAGTTATCGAACAAAATGGATCCATATATATTATAATTAAATGTAATAAAACTTTAAAACAAAAATGTCTTCAATTTGTATATAAAATACGAACCAACTTTTTGCCCGACCTTATGTACTAAGTAAAAGTGTAAAAAAATAGTACTCAATAACTTAGGGAATGATTCTGCCTGTAAACATGAACAACTTTATTATGGGATCATCTTCGAAATTTTCAATCTATACGTGGCAGAGCCATACTGCAGCTATATTACTGATATAGTTGTAGCACGAATGGGTCGACTCAACCGGGGAAGGACCACGCTCTCACAGAATACCAGTGTAAAATAGCAGCTTAACGCTGCTTTGTTTTGTATGGTGAGTGTAGAGAACCGGAGACCCTTTTTACTGGAAACGAGGCATTTCATCTTAGTCCTCAGGGGTTGCAACGCATCTGCATTTTGATTCTTAACCGAAGATAGATGTAGATGTCTATGAGGCACAGCAACCACTTACCATCAGATGGACTGTGTGCTCATTTGTCACCCTGATCCTGTAAAAAAAATCTCAAAATCAGTTATTCCATACAGAATTTCGTACAAATTTGTTCAAAATGTATGGAAAACCTGATTTTTCTTGCGATTTCGAAGATAGATCTGTAGTAAAATTTGTTCATATTGACGCGTAGAATAGAAATGGAAAGCACTATTTTGGTTACCTCATATAATATATAACTATTTTATTTAAATAATTTGTGAATATTAGTCATGTCATTTTCAAGTAGTGCAGTATCTAGTCAGAGCGCGCGATGACCTATTATTAATCTATGGTCAATATCTTATACAGAGTTAACTTTTCACAAAAAATCTTTACTCTATATTCACGACGATATTATGACTGTGTATTGGCCTACATACATAATAAATATTAAAAACTAAACCTATGAAATAAATTTTAATAAATTTCAGAAAATATTTTCAATATGAAAGACGTTGACAAACAAATGTCATTTTTTTTCTTATTCTATTAATTCATGACTTTTTTTGATAGAATTCTGCTAATATTTAATTTAAATCAATTAATAGGTAAATTAATTGTGCAAATCTCAGAGTAATATGTATGTAATTATAATTTAAAGAGCAAACCAAAAAAAGTTTAACACAGAATTAACATTTTTAGTTTCTTCCGATATAATATGAATTTGTGTAATTTTTAAAATGGCAATCTAAAACAAAATGAAGGAAAGAAACAGCAATATTTTTTTCTCGCTTTATTTTTTCAAACCCAACGAGAACATTGACAAAATCATGATTGTGTGCAGATTTTTCAGCTTTCATACAAAGTTGCATCACCCTGGTAATAATTATCAAAACTAAATAGTCACAAGATGAATTCCTTTGCAGTTGTGTTATTTTGTTTTTTTCTCGCGGATTGTAATCTAAGCAACGAATAAGTTTTCTAAATGGACTCCGATAATTCTTCTCACGCTATTGACCCACGGCCTGAAAATGGATCCCGCTCCCACTTCTTACGATAACCTCTGCATCTGCACGAACTTGGACTCGATATCCACTCTTAACGATGACCTCAGCTTTCACACCGGCCAGAGTTCTTCCTATCTCTCTGTAACTCATTTAAGAGGGTATTTATGCTGTGTCAATTGTGGTTTAAATTTGACGAAAATACGAAGTCATTTGTTGTTAAAAAACTGAATCCGAAAATTCGTACTTCTGCTCACATTTGTGGTCATCACGTCCGCAGTTTAATGCCTAGATCGGATTTTTTTCTTTTAATGTGTTCCCTAATAATGTTTCTAAATTACCATTAAAAGTTTTCAACTATATAGATAGTACTTCACAAGACGGCACTAAACATAAGTTTAAATTTTTTACTTTATTTAACTCTTAAGTTTGAGCACCTGTGGTGAAAAAAAACGTATAGGATCTGTGTGGCCAACCATTTAAAAAGTTTGCCTACCTATATCATAAGGATTCTAAAACATTAGCATATCATGTACTTAATGCCATTACTTACTAAGCTATAGTCGTTAATGTGTAAAAGTAGGCATTTCATTACAAAATTGCAAAATTATTGGCAGATAGTTTTTTTAAACATTGCATGTCTTTATTAGGTAAGTACATTTGTCGACCTTGAAAATTTTACTTTACTACTTGCTCGCCTTGTTTGGATGAATTCTAAGCTGTGTGAGCGGGACAAAAAAAAATCTAATGGGTTAATATCAGGTGATCTTGGTGGCCACAATATCGATCCTATTCGGCCGATCCATCGATCACGGTTGGCTTCGTTTAGGTAACTCCTTACTTGGACGGCGTAATGTGCAGGACAACCATCATTTTGGAGCCACATTCTTCGCCAGATGGCTAGTAGCTCATCTTCTAATAAATGAGGCAGCTCATTTCCAGAAATTCTTAATAATTGGCTCCATTTAGTTTACCCGGTTTGTTCGCTGTTAACTGTGCAGATTATGCAAGTTAAGGTATTCGTCTCTTTTACACGTTGACTCGTCACTCCACAAATTATTTCTAAAAAACCCGGGATCTTCATCCATTCGCCTCAGAATTTCTCTGCAAAAAGTAACTCGTGCTCGGTAGTCACGTTGTTGAAGAGTTTGCACACGTGTAACATGATAAGGGTGAAGTCTCCATTTTTTGACAATCCGATGTGCTGTAGAGTGCGATACTCCAGTGCGTTGTTCGATATTTCGCATCGAAATAGACGAATCTTTTCTGCCCATTTCCAAAAAGGAGACGGAAAACGGAAACGGACTCAATTCGACTGCACATGCGATGTCGAGAAGGTCAAGATACGCACTAACCATATTTAACAATAACCAAACACGAATTCCAAACACGAATTCCTACAATGGAGAATCTGTCGATCCTTTTTACTCACATTAATCCTAAGCACCGTTTCTCTCGCTCGTCCAAACAAGGCGAGCAGATAGTAAACTAAACTAGTAAACTAAAACTTACCTAATAAAGACAAACAATGTTTAAAAAAAAAACTATCTGCCAATAATTTTGTAATATTATAATGAAATGCCTACTTTTACACATTAACGGCTATAGCTCAGTAAGTAATAACATTAAGTACATGGTATGCTATGTATGTTTGTTTTAGAATCCTTATGATATAGGCAAACTTTTTAAATGGTTGGCCACACAGATCCTATACTTTTTTTTTCACCGCAGGTGCTCAAACTTAGCAGTTAAATAAAGTAAAAAATTTAAACTTATGACTTATAAACCCACCCGAACACAAACGTACCAGATTATCCACCATTACCGGGTCTTCCTGTATATATATAAACATGCTGCAGCTATATCAGTAGGAAGTCTGGGGAAGGACCATGCTCTCACAGAATACACACATACGAAACACAGCAGCGTTAATCTGCTATTTTACGCTGGTATTCTGTGAGAGCGTGGTCCTTCCCCGGTCGAGCCGACCATTTGTGCTACAATTATAATACTAATATAGTTGCAGCATGGCTCTACCACGTAACCCCCACGTTACCCCCACACTAGGATTTTCTCCAGTATCGTGGGGGCAGTTTACAAACACTAATTGCACAAGAGCAAACATCCAGACCCGGAACAATTATTTGCAGGCCATACAAATATTTGTTCCGTGCGGGAATCGAACCCGCGGCCCCCAGCGCAGCAACTCATTGCTAAGCCACTTGCTTTTCTAAGTCCGAGCCGTCGGACTTAGAAAAGGAATCGAATAATGTGTGTGTGAAATTAAAATCATTTTTCGTAAAACCATTGATAAGTTTAGGTACGGAGCCTATAACATAATTCACCACTCAATCGACCACAACCATCTTTAAAAAATTTAAAGTGACACGTTGTCCCGTTTCTAGTCAATAAAGAAATGGTCACGTTAACTGTGCATGACCATATTATGTGTAATAAATATGCATGTGACATTCTCCCTCTCCCTATTTCTTGCTTGGTGATTCAATCTACTGGTGTGACATTGAGTGAAAAAAGTCGATTAATAAAAAATCGGTTTTTTGCTTTGTGATAATAATCGATTTAAGAATAATCGATTTTTTAATAAAAAATAATCGATTTTTGCGGAAAAAAATATTTTATTCGAAAAATAATGTTCTGGTTATAGAAATAAACTACAGAACAATTTTTTTAACATATAACTTTGAATAATAAAAAACTAAAAACAATTACTGCCACAAATGTTCAGTGCCATTTAACAATTTATTACAACCAAAATAAACAGAAACGATAAATTAAACTAAGTTTTACGGATTTTATCGCGTTTAATTTAACTTTTTAATTCCCGACATTTCAGGTGCTTTACAGCACGCATGGTCACAGAGGGGACTGAGGTGCTTGACGTCCCTATGTCATAGTTGAACCACAAATCCTCGCAAAAGAACACCGATTCCTACCAAGTATGATTAGCGAGGCTATCGAAATTAAAAAACATCCTAATTTCAATAGAGAAGATGGATGGGTGCTGCCATTTGCTTGGCATCCTATAATTAATAAAATTAAATCCAAACCCAAGCATACCACTGTAAGACTTCAAGATACTGTAAGCTCATTCTGCGTAGATCGGACCAAAAATTAATATTCAAAAACTGAATTTAGCCAGGCTAACTATAACATCTGGACGTCAAAGACCTCAGTTCCCCCCGTAACCATGGGTGCTGTGAAGCACCCGAAACATCAGGAATTAAAAAGTTAAATTAAGCGTGATCAAATCCGTAAAAATTAATTTCATTTAATGTGTAGTCTTCGCGTAAGTATAAGAAATCATTAAGAAACCATAATTTTAGTAAACGATAGTTTTTTTTAAACTAAGTTTGAACAAACAAAAAGTCTAAATATCATTATGCCACTAATGTTCAGTATCATTTACATTGGATTAGAATGAAAATAAAATAAAAATATAATTATAAATAATCCGACGACAACCTTTTGATCTCAAAACTAAAATACAAGACAAATCTTTTTTTAAACTTGTGTAAACAAAAAAAGTAAAAAAAAATATTGCCATGAATTTTCAGTTAAAAACTTTAAAAACAATCATTTCACCAAAATTCTTCTTCGTCTCTTTCCCAAAATACGGTTTCGTTTTTTCCTGACAATATTTCCCGATTTCAAAAATAATCTCTCAGCTGGCGCGGAACTGGCCATCACTGAGAGGTGTTTAAAAGCCAATTCGGTTAGTTCAGAGAAAGTTCCTTCAGAGCTTCTCCATATATTGAGGGCTTCTGCCTTGAGATTTGACAGTGGTGCCGCAATATATAGATACAATTCAGTATTTTTGCCTATTGACGTGTTGGCCGCTATCATTTTTTCATTATAAAATACTTCTGTCAGTCACTTTTACGCGTTTCACAAGACATTTTTATTGTTTATATATAATTGTTTACACTAATCAAAGAAAGAAAGAAAACCACAGAATACTTTTACTCCTAGCGGAGGAAGAAACCTGTTGAAAACATACGAAAAGCGAAACTGTTTTACATACATAGAGATACATACGGGTGGCGCCGCCTTTTGATTGACTTATTCATGTTATTGAACTTACTTCACGTTTTTCGCACAGATGACTCTGATTACAAAAATCGATTGAAACGCGTAATTTACATAAAAATCGATTTATTAAAAATCGATTTTTATTATAAAAAAATCGACTACGAAAAATCGATTATAAGAAAAAAATAATCGATTAATATGAAAATCGATTATTCTTTTACATCCCTAATTCAATCGCATTCGTCCATGCACATGCACTCATCTATTGATACGTACTGTTTATGGAGTGTAGATCTACTCTACACTCCATAGTACTGTTGACGGGACGACGACTATCACCGACATTTTGTGTCGTATTACTAGCGTTTCTTTTTTGTTTGAACAGCTTGAACTGTGTTTAAAAGAACATTTTACATTCGTTATTAAAATAAATAACTGTTATAGTCCGTTGTTATTAAACGGATTATTGGTCTCGGAGGAAAGGTTTGATTGTGAGTATTTTTTTATATAGACTGTATAAATTTAGTTACTTAACCTTACAGCTTATTCCGTTAAACTATAAACATTTTTTAAACGCTAAATACATTGTAACGGCAAGTGAATATAAATATGAGTTATTTCATTATTATATTAATGCGTTAATTAATAAGTACAAAAACTAAAATTAGGGGTACGATTTTAGGGGGACCTAAACGAAAATTACTTAAGTTAGTAGGTATTTAGGTTTTTATTATATAATTATAAGGTAAGTACGTATTTATATAAAAAATTTAGTTTTGTAAATCTTTGTATCAATTAAAAGATGTATATCCTTATCTTAGTAATTGTATTAATATTTATATATTACAATTAATCCATGTAATTTCCGATTAAGTAAGTCCAACTTACCTAATCGGACTATTTGTCCCAGGTAAACATACTCATCAATAACTTCGAGCTTAGTGCTCCCCACAACTACCGGCATAGGTGTGACATTAAACATGATTTTTGTTTTGTCCATGTTCATCTTAAGACTTATCCGTTGGGAGACACTATTGAGGTCATTGAGCATAGTTCTTAGGTCCTCCAGCGATTCTGCCATAAGTACTATATCGTCGGCAAATCGAAGGTGAGTGATGTACTCGCCATTGATGTTAATACCGCATCCTTTCCAGTCCAGTAGCTTCAAAACGTCTTCCAATGCAGCAGTGAAGAGTTTCGAGGATATTACGTCACCCTGTCTTACACCTCTCTACAGTTGTATAGGTTTCGCAATCTGATTCTGTACTCGGATAGCCATCGGAGCTCTACTGTACGAACACTTCAGCACTTCGATATACCGACAGTCAACTTGGCACCGCTGAAGGGACTGCAGCACCGCCCAAATTTCGACGGAATCAAGGCTTTTCTTATAGTCCACATATGTAAGGGAAAGTGGCAGATTATACTCCTCTGTCTTCTGTACAATCTGCCGCAGGGTATGTATGTGGTCTATGGTACTAAAGTCTTTTCGGAAACCGGCTTGTTCGGGAGGCTGGAAGTCGTCAAGTCTGCGTGCGAGACGATTCGTAATGACTCTCGAAAACAGCACGAAGACGCAGCTCAGAAGGGAAATCGGTCTGTAGTTCTTCAAGAGAACGTTGTCGCCTTTCTTGAAGAACAAGACCACCGTACTTTTGCTTCACGCCTCCGTAGTAGTGCCACCATGGAGGGCGGAATTAAAGAGCTTCTGAAGGACTTCAAGTACCGGTTTTCCACCCGCTTTCAAAAGCTCCACTGTAATTCCATCCTCGCCCGGGACTTGCCGTGCTGGAGAGCCATTCTAATCTCGCTCAGACTGACGTCCGGGATATTTTCGGAATAGTGTCGGATAAGACTCGCTCTTGGATCGTTACTCACACTTGCGTGTGGCTCCAACGATGACGTGTACAGCTGCCCATAGAACCTCTCAATCTCACTCAAAATCTCAGGTGTCCCGGAAACGATGCTGTCACACTCGGTCTTCAGCTTCGACAGTTGTCTCTTTCTCTTTCTGGCAGACAGATCTCTGGCAAAGACTTTGGAGCCTTGGTTCCGCTCGATCGCTTCTTCAAAAAAAGCCGTATTGAAGTTGCGTAAGTCCCGCCGCATGCATTTGGAGATCTGTCTATTCAGTTGCCTGTATGCTGTCAAATTTGTTCAAGAATGTAGCTTCATCTCCAGTCTAACAGCCATGAGATTAAGAGTGTGATCGGAGAGTTTTTGTGTTCTTCTGCGGCGGGTCTTGCAGAACTTAGCTCCGGCCGCATGGACAGTTTCCACGAGCTTGTCATTCATCGTCCACTTCATTGCAGTATTCTAGGCACTGAAAACGGTTTTGTACTCGAGCTGAAAGTGTTCGGGACTTTGGAACAGAGCACGAGGGGGACGGAGCCTTGACTTCATTAGAGGAGACCTCTCCAACTTAACGTTTAGGTTCAGTGTGCCTCTAACCATTCGGTGATTGCTACCAGTTTTCACCCTCGCGATCACGGATACATCACTGAACAGTTGTCGTCTGGTCGTCATAATGGGGCCGCTTCTGGAAGAAAGAGTTCATCATAAAGAATCCCTCTTTCTCCATGAAGTCGGCCAGCTGCTGGCCCCTTGAGTTCCGTTGCCCCATTCCAAATTTCCCAACTTTCAGCTCACCGTTCTCTCTAGTGCCTAGTTTTGCATTGAAGTCTCCCATTAACACCGTATAGTGGATTTTGGAGGAATGCATGGCTCTAGAGATATCCTCATACATTTTCTCCACCTCCTCTTCGGGATGTACCGAGGTTGGTGCGTAAACCTGTATGACCTTAAGCGAATACCGTTTGGTAATTCTGAGTATAAGGTACGCAACCCTTGTCGACACACTCTCAATCTTTACAACGTTGTTCACGAGAGACTTGTGGACGATAAACCGACACCTCTTTGGGACAGATGGTCGCCCTCCCGGTGATAGAGCAAGTTGCCGGATTCGAGGATTACCGTGTCCTCCCCCTCTTTTCGGACCTCGGATAATCCTATAATATGCCAGCGTAACTTGTCTATCTCTTCTTCCAGCTCCACGATCTTCTCGTCAGTCCTCAGGGTGCGTGCATTGTATGTTGCAAGGTCGAGTCGTCTTAGGTGGCAACCAAGCCTCCACCGGAGGTTCTTAGCACCCCCTGCCCCGCCTACCGTTACCATGGTCGCTACCGTAGCCAGGAATAGCGGGGCCGCCGGGGTCTAGGGGCCGTTTCTTTGTTGCTCTCATCATTGGGGGGTATTTGCCATAGTTGCCACCCTTGGCGAGCGGGTTGGCCACCGCAGTTTTTTTATTGAAATTTTGCTGTTATCAGGAAGATGCTGCTGCCCATCTCCTGCCCGCTTCCCTTTTTTTTATAGGATCGAGTGACAAACGAGTACACAGTCCACCTGATGGTAAGTGGTTGCTGTGGCCCATAGACATCTACATTCATCCTCAATAAAGAATCAAAATGCAGATGCGTTGTCACTCGTGAGGACTAAGATGGAATGCTTCTTTTCCAGTAAAAAGAGTCTCCGGTTCTCTACACTCACCATACGAAACACAGCAGCATTAAGCTGCTATTTTACGTTGGTATTCTGTGAGAGCGTGGTCCTTCCCCGGTCGAGCCGACCCATCTGTGCTACAACTATACTACTAATATAGATGCAGCATGGCTCTACCACGTAAAACGTTCCCTTTGTCGCCTTTTACTACACCCACGAGAAGGTAAGGGGTAGTGGATATTCTTAACCGCTACTACACGGCATAATTCGCAATTAAATGAAATTAAATCGTCGAAACAGTTAAAAAAATCTTAAACTTAATTTTAAGAAATAATAACGTTAAAAAATTAATTAAAAAAAATCCTGGTTTCGGATTTAATCACCAAGTAGGCAAAAATAATCTGATCTATTGCACGAAACAGATCGTAAAATAGAGAGAGTGCAAGAATAATGATTCTCCGATGATGCCTTCTCACTCTTACTCGAATGCTACGTACGCTTACTTGTATAGTAGTATACGAGTACGAGTAAGCAATAGTCGTCTCTTTTTAACTCGGGTCTTAATACAACGATTTGAAAAATATTTTATACCTGAATTTATCACACCTCCCGAAATATTCTAGGAAAAAAATATTTTTCCGTCGTAGCATTTAGGAAATTCTAGAAGGAATCTAAATGTGAAAAAAATTATTCATTAATTTTAAGCATTCAAATTTCAATTTGAAATTTGTTATATTTTTTATATTTTTTTGTTATATTTTTCTTAACAACAAAAAAATTGTAAAATTTGTCAGTTTTTATAAGCAATTAAAAAAAGCGGTTATTTTTCTACTCCATACGATTTTTTTTAAATTTACGGTCATCCCTTAAACTTAAAAACTCCCTAACTCGGTTAAATTTGACCGGAGGAAAAAAATCATTTAACCTTTTTTATGTAATATTTTAAGCTCTACGTATTTTAAAAAAAAAACTTTTTTGTTTAAGTTAAAGTTAAGTCGTAATTTTAACGGTTTTCGAGTAATTGCGAAAAAAAACTTTGACATTTTTATAACCCTTGCCGGGGGTTGAGGACACGAAAACCTTCACACATAAGTTTTGTATCATTAAAACTACATTATATCAAAAATGCAAAGTTGAGTGTCAACATTTTTGATTTCAGACCTTATTTGACTGGACTATACTGGTGGGCGAAATTCGAATGTAATAATTTTTTAAGGTTGCAAGCTGTACACAGATAAATAATAAAAAATATAAATTAAAATCTTTTTTGCCTTTTTTACCTAAAATGTAGTGATTATAATATGCTCTTTGGTTTTTTGGTTCTGACTGGCAGTATGAACGTACACAATGTACGCAAGCATCATATTAGTCTGTGGTACTATGTTTAATTTAATTTAATTTATGTAGTAACACATATTTGAAATAAATTTTAACTTTCTGCCCTCCTTCTACATATCAATTTTAACTACATATTTTTAAAAAAAACTATTCCAAATCACACATTCCTCCGTGCGCGCAATATGCTTATATGGGAGTACAAGTTTTCCCTTCAAGTATAAATAGTATATACTCGTAGATTAACCTTACAATTTTATCAAGATCACAATAAAATAACTATTTTCGACCTAAAAAGTTAAAACAATTAAAAAACTTCGTTGATTAAACTTTGATATCTCTATATATATAAAAATCAATTGCTGTCCGTTAGTCTAGCAAAAACTCGAAAATGGCCGGACCGATTTTTATGAAATTTTTTGTTTGCGTTTGTGTGGATCCCTGGATGACCTAAGCGATTCACAATTTGAGCCGGTAGATAGCGCTGTTGTCCAGATCCAGAAATCACCGGTGCGAAGCCGGGACGGATCGCTAGTATCGAATAAATCTGTATGGCTATTCACTCAAAGGGAATTTGACACATCAGGGGTATAATAGCATCAGGGGTATAATAGTATGTTCATTCATTAAGCCTAAAAAAAGATTTTTCCTTTCGATATTTTAAATGTAATATAAACTGAATTTCTGAACTTGCCAAATCTATGCAAATTTGAGAACACTAAATAATTTTTGTCTCCGTTTTCATTTTGTCGCGTTTGTTTCTAAAAGCTAAAATTTTATAAAAATACTTTGCATCTTTGTTTTCAGGTTTCGAATTTTATCGAAGTCTATCAATATGGTGAAAGCACGAAAGTACGTTGTAAAGAGAAACTTCCAAGGAGTCCCTAAGCGTGATGATTTCGAAATAGTAGAATATGAATTACCACCCATAAAGGATGGAGAAGTTATCGTCAAAACGGAGTGGATTAGCGTAGATCCCTACCTACGATCTTTTAATTCAATGTACAACCCACCTTTTGATCAGTTTTCTTTTCAAATTGGCGAAGTTATAGAAAGCAAAAATTCCGAATACCCAGTTGGAATAAAAGTAGTATCCCATATAGGTTGGTGTGATCACGGCATAGTAAAGATGTTTGATGACCCCTTAAGAAGACCATACAAATTACCTGATCTAAAAAAATTACCTACGTCTTATGGAATTGGAGCCGTTGGAATGCCTGGAGCAACTGCTTATTTTGGATTCTTAGAAGTTTGTAAACCGAAATCAGGCGAGACTGTAGTTGTAACTGGTGCTGCTGGTGCTGTGGGATCAATCGTTGGACAGATTGCTAAAATTAAGGGATGTAGAGTTATCGGCTTCGCAGGCACCGATGCAAAAGTTAAATGGTTAGAAAACGAACTTGGCTTTGACAAAGCTTTCAATTACAAAACCGTGGATATTACGAAAGCTTTAGAAGAGGCTGCTCCGAAAGGTGTTGACTGCTATTTCGATAATGTCGGCGGGGAAGTTAGTAGCAGGATCATTAAGCAAATGAATACATTTGGGAGAGTGGCGTGTTGCGGAAGCATCAGTACATACAACGATGATCCGGATAAAATGTCTAAAGCTACTGTTCTGCAACAGTATTTGGTTATGAATCAGATTAGAGTTGAGGGTTTTATTGTTTCGAGGTGGGCAAATGAATGGCCTAAAGCGTTTGATCAAATTATAAAATGGATTGAAACTGGGCAACTAAAAGTCAGAGAGCACATCACTGAAGGTTTTGATAAATTGTATGATGCATTCGTGGGTGTGTTGGCGGGAGAAAATATTGGTAAGGCTGTAGTCAAGGTTAATTAGTAACGTAATAGATATATGTGGACTTCTGAGTTTGAAATAAACTTATACCTATAAAATAGTGTTTCATTTTACAACAAATATACAGTTACCCCATGTGACGCATTCCATACAAGCAAGCAGCTAATTAATATTACAAGTGCATCCGAAGCTTCTATACAGCATAAAATTTCTGTGAACAAACATAAGTCCTGAATTAACGAACGATAAAAGATTAAACATACATATATATTATGCATGTACTTAAATACTTTAATTAATAATTTCGGATTTTCCATCGTGGTCGTTTCGGAGATTGAATTTGAAGACAGACAATAAGTTAATTTCAAAGTCATAACTACTATATTTATATTAGTTTATCTGGTGAATTATACGGGAAAAATGCATTGCCATAACCGTTTTGTTTATATGTAATTCGTCTAAACGAAATTACATTAACCATAGTGGTCGTTATTTTGAGATTACAACTTAGAAATTAAAACAAATTCATTCGTAATCTATGGCAGAATGCATAGATATGCGATTACAGCACTCGCGGTTGATTTGCTGGCATTTAATGAGTAGTTCCGTTCCGTTGTGTCTCCGAAACTCATCATAAGATCTTTACGAAATTTAAGTGAAACCATGTCGAAATAAGCCTCTTTCTAACAAAAAATAATTATCTGTCTATAATGAGGAAGTTATGCCCGAACATACATAAAAAAACATCCGAAATGAGAACTTCCTTATTTTTTTGAAGTCGGTTAAAAATGCGAATTTTAAGACCTTAGTAACTGAAGAACTATTATAGCTAGCCTACACATGTAATTCTGAATTCTAGGTAACAGGGGGGCCTTATTGGATATGCAAACTACTACTGTGCTACTACTATAGACTAATGTAGGGACAAACTGAGCAATATTTACTTGATACTGAGCAACGCACGCACACACAAACGCACGCCCGCACGCACACACGCACACAAAATTTAATTTTGGTTGTTAAAATAGAATAATTGTTTTTTTGTAATTTTTGGTTTTTAGAATTAAAAATGTATGTTTAGATAAGGAAGAGCGGGGTTTCCAAATACAAGCATTAGTTGCTTAAATGGAGACCCCAATCAACTATTTAATTAAGTTTTGTGAAGAAAAATAAACTATTTTATTTTTAGTGTAATATTGCTCACTTGTACACTTACTTAGAACCTTGAAATTTGATGAAACTACTTGTAGTGCCTGTATTCCGAGTCAAGCGAACACACATGAACAAACGTTGAAGGTCATATTTTAATTGAGATTAATAAAAGTATATGATATAATGAACTTTTCAAAACTTAATAATATCCTACCAAATCATAAATGTGAAAAGGAGGCCAAGTTACAACCTACGTCCGAGGTCCTCGGCTTAGGCCGATAACGATAAGCAGTGTCTGATTTCGAGTTCTGGCAACCCTTTTTTTACGGGGGGAAATCCTCATGGACTACCTCCGCCTGGGGAAAGGCGGAGGGGCGTGCCGGACTCTTACGGCTAAAACCACCCCGGTGTCTCCTCGCACGTGCGCGTGGGGCCGCGGGAATCCAAATTCTTCCGCAGCCCCACACTAGTGCTGGCCCGGTCTGTCCGGGCCTCGTCTCCTGCACGGGGTAGTGAGGTGTTCAACTACCCCGTGTATCGTCTCAGGGGCGCGCGCCGACATCCGCGCGCGCCTCCGCCTCGGGTCCATCGAATAGGGGTGGCGGGGGCTTCCCCAAGTCCCTCGCCCCTGGACCCATTCATGGGGGCCGGAAAAGGGCGTTGTCCGCCCTTCTCCAGCGCCCGGTGCGCCTTCTGCGGCCGGGGAAGGGAGTCGAGATCTCCCTTTCCCGTTCCGCAGTTTCCTTCTGCGAAATCACGTCCTCGCAGAAGGACACCACCGCGTCCCACGACTCTGCGCTACCGGCCATCTGCCGCACTAAGGCCGGCAGCGATAGATCGCCTCCTACTTTATTTGTGAGGACACGGCGCTGCTCCTCCCAAGCGTCGGCGGCGAGCGTGTGTTGCGCCGTGTCCTCCCCGCAATGGACGCAGTGGTGGCACCGAGCGTCCGGCTCCCTGTCTATGCGGAACAGGTACTTGCCGAAGCAGCCATGACCCGACAGCACTTGCGTCACCCTGGACGACAGGGAGCCGTGCCTTCTCCCGAGCCAGCCGGCGGTAGGGCGCAGAAGCCTTTGCCGCCATTCCGCTACCATGACCTGACGGAGCTCTTCTCGGCGCAGCGCGGTCTGCCGCTGCACCGGCCTCGAGCTCTGTGCCCGCTCTTCCTCGCGCCATCGATATAATGACGTGAGTACTTTCGCCTCTAGGTCCCAGGGCGGGGATCCGGCCAGGGCGCAAGCCGCCTCGTAGGAAATCGTGCGATACCCGCGAACGACTCTGACGGCCATCGCCCTCTGCGGTTTGCGCAGAATGGCGAGAGTGCTGGCAGTCATGTCCATCGCCCACACAGGGGCCCCATACAGGGCCATGGACCGCACGATTCCCACGTACAACCGCCTATAGGCGGCGCTCGGGCCCCCCAAGTTGGGAAGCAACGTTGAAAGCGCGCCCGCTGCACCCATCAGCTTGGGCGCCAGCCGCCGGAAGTGGGGTCCGAATTCCCATCGGCTGTCGAGCACCAATCCCAGATACTTCATGGTGGACTCGACCGCTATCCGGGCCCCGCTGACCACGATGTGTGAACCCGGTGGCGGCGCGCGTCGAGGGCCATGGAACACCATGGCCTCCGACTTGTTTAGGGCCACTTCCAGGCCCAGGCGCCGGATGCGGTTCACCACTTGTGACACCGCAGCCGTGGCAACCAACGCTGCTTCCCTGTGCGAACTCCCCCTGGCAGTGACGAGCGTGTCGTCCGCATAACACGTCAAGTCGGCGCCCGACGGGAGTTCACCCCTCAACACCCAGTCGTAGCCGATGTTCCACAGGAGCGGTCCCAAGACCGATCCCTGCGGAACATCGCACAACATGACGCGGTGACCAGCGCCGTCACGTCCCCAATACGTGACGCATCTCTCCGCAAGATAAGCCCCTATTGTGCGGCGGAGGTAGGGAGGCACGCGATGGTAATTCAGCGCCTCCCGAACACAACTCCAGGGTAGCGTTGGAGATGTCTAAAGACACCGCCAGCACCACCCCACCCCGGGATATTGTCTCCTCCGCCAGGGCCCTCACGCGCGTAATAGCGTTTATGGTGGAGCGCCCGCGACGAAAACCAAACTGGTTCTCGCCCAGGTCCGGCCCCTCTCTGCACAAGTGGCTGACGAGGCGATCTGCGATGATACGCTCAAAAAGTTTGCCCGCCTCGTCGAGCAGCACTATGGGCCGGTACGCGGACGGTGAGTCCGCGGGGCGCCCCTCCTTCCTGAGCTGGACCAGCCTCCCCTCCTTCCACACACTGGGAAACTGACCCTGCTCGAGACATGCCGTGAAGAGCCCCCTCAGCTGGGGCTCTAGCTCCTTAGTTCCGGCAACCCTAGGCTAACTTTGAATATGCGCCCATTATGCAGCATGGGCCAGTGAGTCGTTCTCCCTGTGCAGAGACGGAACAGATGGCTGACAGAAGTAGCATTGAACAGCCTTGGCAAAACACATTAATTAAATTAGAGGTAGAGAAGAGAGCTTGAGCAGTTTAAAATCTTTGAATCGTGTTCAGTCAGTCAACGGAACACGAAAGGTACCAAGTAATTCATAGTCTTGCTTTTACAATCTATTTTTTGTTTTGTACCAAAAGAAAGAAAGAGCAACAGGTACAATACTTGGGGCACTTATTCTATTATTTATTGAGAATATTAAACCAAATTTTATTCTGTACATAAGTGGTTTTTGCAAAGGCATGCTCAGCGCCCCCTAGCTTGTTGGTAAATCAAGCCCTGCTGATAAGTGTCGAGATCTGAACGAGTCCCAAGTTCTACATGAGCAGTTCTTTAAATTATAGCTATAGAAATGTACAACATTCATGAAACCATACCACCACAAATACCGCCATGCAGACACCCTCCTTGGCACGTTATAAACAATAGGTAAACGAATCCCTGATAATAGAAGCTAAAAATTGCTGCTGAGTATAATGATTCAATAGCCTTTTAAATTAATAATGCGATGAAACTATCACAATAAATAATAAAAAATATGAATAATGACAAACGGGTAAAACAAAAGGAAAATGAAAACACACAATAAGAACTAACACAGAAGTTTTCTAGGTTAATTAATATTATCAACTAGCTGTGCCCGCGGCGTAGCTCGCGTATACAGGTTTTACATAAACAATTTGTCGTTTAGGTAAGAGAATATTAAACGATTTATTTCATTACTGTATCAATAAGTGGTAACTAAATAAATCATTATCATCAAAGTTCTAAGTCGTTTATGATAGAGCTTCTGTGTAAACGACGTGAGAAGTAGGCTTAGCCGGGGTGTACACTAAAAGGTTACGGGGGCTACTAACGCGGGAAAAAGCAACATAGAGTTGGCCATGTGCAAAACAGTCAGTACTGAGGTACACTCCTACAATGCGTAAAGTTTGACCTTGCGCTTTATTTACGGTCATCGCATAACACACGCTCACTGTAACTGGGAACTGAACGCGCTTAAAACTGAAAGGAAAGTTACTTCTTAATAGAGGGTTTTGGGCAGTGCTGCCAGATAAAAAAAACTAATTCAGCTCTAGGAAAACACAAAAAGCGCTAGATTTCATGAAAACAGCGCTTTAAAAAAGCCCTAGATTTCGCGCTAAATTAACTACAAACAAAGTTTGTGTTTTTTTATATAATCATAATAAAGAAAACAACATTAAGTTTTTTTTCTGGCAATATTTTTTTGATGTATCAATACTTCGCAGGAACTCGACTTATAATTATGACAATTGCTGTCAACAGTAGTTAGTACTGTACGAACAATAAAAATGTCATTAATTGTTTTAAAGTGCAATGTATTTCGCAACTTAGTTTCAGATGTCAGCATCTGATTGCGGTTGCTACGCAGTTTCTTTGTGTTATAACTTCTAAGTAACTTTTAACTTAGCTGTGCTCTAAGCAACTGACTGAAACTGAATAAAGCAAAATAAATGCGTTGCCAAAACCATGAACAAAAACTTTAATAAAGGGGTTTCCCCGCTTATAGTCGTCGGTAAAAAAATCAAGTTGATCATCCTAA